CTGCACGTAACGTGAGGAATGCTAATCGACCGACGGATCAACCATCGGAGTAGGTCCGTCCTCCTCCCCTAGGGAATCAGGAAAGAGAAGAGGCACCGCCTCCCTCTGCCAGCGCGCTGCTCGACCAGGAGAAAGGCAAACATCGCCACGTCCGACCTGGCCAAAGGCAGGCACCTCCTGCCCAAACAACTCACACACACGCCGTAACGCCCCCTCCCGGCGCTCCGGGTACGGTCCAAGAATGCGAAGCAGATAGTTCCACGGCTGCTCTCCTCTCTCGGGGACAAGACAATCCTGTGCCGCCCGGCACACAATCTGATCCTGCAGAAAACCCAGGTCTGTCAGCGGCCCGCTCAACCCGACCACAAAAAGAAGCGATTCATCGCTCCAGGCTACCAACGACACCACCAGTGTCCCCGCCTGCCGGCATCTAGCATCGTCTCGCACCCTGCGCAGCACGTCATCCACCTCTCGTCCCTCCCTCGGTACTGCCACAGCAGCAATCGTGTGTCCTCCCTCCTTCCACACTTCCTCCGTATGTAGCAAGGACGGATCAACCGTCCCCTGGCCTCGCGCCATCCGCACAACGATCCCCCTGTTGTCAGTCCCTGCTGTCGCTCTGCTGTGTTTCTGCCAGAAAAAGAAAAGAAGAAGAAATGAAATCCTCTGCATTCTTCCAGGGAGGGCTCCCGCCCTCCTTTGTAGTTTGCCATGTGGGAGAAAGTGGCCCACTTTCGTCCCTTTTAGGTAACAGATATGGGCCAGCAGGCCCATCTCTGATAGGGTAGCAAGAGATGGAGCGAGGCTCCACTCTGTCAACGGTCAACGCCCATCTTACAAGTGAATCATACAGAGCTCGCACCAAATGCTCGCTAGATGGGCGTTCTGATTCGCTCAAATCGCGAAATATTCCCTGTCGTATCCACTTTGGTCAACGAACTTCGTTGACGACGACCCCTTGGCTCGCCGTCGCCTCGTCCGTCTGTTGGTCACGCGCCATGCCACCTTCGGCGTCAGCCACGCTCCCAGCTTCCAGCGTTGTTGTTGCATAGCCATGGTGTTTCTACTAGTAGTAACAATATGATTTCATCATTGCTCTTCGAGGTGAGCGCCAGGGTCCTGCGGACCACGGCACAGGGGGCTTCCCCCTGTAACCCCCTTCTTTCCGGAATAGAAGTACCTCTTTTTGACAGCATGCAGTCAAAGTAATAAAGGCATGCTCTAGGGCACGCATCTTTGCACAAGTGAGGCTCCACTTCTACAGCATTTCACGCATCTCACGATACTTTCTGGTGTTTTCCACACTGCACAGGTTACTTGTTCCACATATTGCCATTCGTCCCCTCATGGGTTCACTCTCATTCTTACTCATCGTCCCATGTTCAACTTCGCACCACAGTGCGACACAGCCTACGCTACCGAGCACATACTCCAGCAAGGATGCAGCCTCAACTGCAGAGGGTCACCAAGACCTGGAAAAAGAAGACACGTCCCGGGTATGCCACACATCCATGCACCACCGGCACACCCAAAGCTCACCCACGCTCGCAATAGATGCAACACCTCCCTCGTCCACACCGAGGACTCGGACGCAGCACCAACCCCTGGTTGATTCTGCCAGTAGTCATATGCTTGTCTCAAAGATTAAGCCATGCATGTCTAAGTATAAGCAATTATACAGCGAAACTGCGAATGGCTCATTACATCAGTTATCGTTTATTGATAGTACCTTACTACTTGGATAACCGTGGTAATTCTAGAGCTAATACATGCTAAAAACCCCGACTCACGAAGGGGTGTATTCTCCAAGGCCTCCTGCCATCCAATGATTAGCTCGTGCCAGCATATGTAATGCCTGTCATCCACCGCTGCTCTCTTACCATCGCCAAAGGTCCTCCCAGGTAGGACCGCTCGTGCCACATGTGAACGCCTCTCGTCCCCATCGCTAGTGATCATGCCGCTCCACGCAAGGAATCAACGCTTCCACCGGAATCTCCTCGTCTGCCGACTCATCCTGTGCTTCCACCAGCCCCTCCGGCGCAACCATGACCTCGGCTCCCCTCGTAGTAGACTGTCGCCCTTTCCCCTCCCGGGATCGCACCGCCCCGCGTGCCTGGAAATACGCTCGTCGCCCCGCCGACTACAACGTTAGCCACTGCCGTGACCACTTCCTGACGGCCTCCGCCAACATCCGCCCCACGAGGTCGGATAGTCAAGGTAAGACCTACTCGAATCTTCGGCCCCTCCTTCCCAGTCGTGCTCCCTACGGAAGACATCGTTCCACAGCCTCGCCCTGCAACTAGCAAGTATCACTCCGTCACGTCAGCCTCCGTCCGACAACGACTACTATCTCGGCATCCTGCCATCTCACAGCGCTGCAACGCACCCCCGTGCACTGCATCCATCCAGGACGTTCACCTCCGGCAAACACATACCAACGTATCCTACCGCTCCCGCAACACCTCACTCCGTTCTTATCGCCCCGCTGCTGTTTTCCGCCGGAAAATGAAAAGAAGGAAGAAGAGAAATCCTTTGCTCTCTCCTGGGGAGGGCCTCAGCCCTCCCTTATGTAAATCCATGTGGGTCTCTGGTTTGCCCACCAGAGCCCTAAAAGGGTAACCAGACTGGGCCAGCAGGCCCAGTTCTGATTGGAAGGTAAGCGGGGGGTCAGGACCCACCCGCGTCAACGGTCAACGCCCATCTTACAAGTGAATCATACAGAGCTCGCACCAAATGCTCGCTAGATGGGCGTTCTGATTCGTCCAAAGGCCAAATTATTCCCTGTCGTATCCACTTTGGTCAACGAACTTCGTTGACGACGACCCCTTGGCTCGCCGTCGCCTCGTCCGTCTGTTGGTCACGCGCCATGCCACCTTCGGCGTCAGCCACGCTCCCAGCTTCCAGCGTTGTTGTTGCATAGCCATTATGTCTCTCTAGTAGTAGACAATATGATTTCATCATTTCACTTCCGTGTATTAAGCAGCGTCGCTACGCTCGAGCTGCACAGGGCTGCCGCCCCGTACCCCGCGGTTCCGGAATCTTAGCTCTCTTTTCCGACAGCATGCGGATTAAGTAATGTCAGCAGTCTTTAGCGACATGCATCTTGGTGGTTTTTGAAGCTACTCCAAAGTAGTGTTTAGCACATCTCGTGATACTTTCTGGTGTTTTGTTCTACTCTAACACACGACTCTACATTTCATTTCATTGCATTCCATTGCTGGTTGTTCCACACTTCACTCTGTTCATCTAGTAATCACCCTGATCTTCTGCTGATAAGTCTAGCTATCATCACTGCATCAACTGCTCTATCGCCACATGGCTCCTACACGAGGACACCGGACTACAAGCCCTGTTGTCCAAACTCTGCTGCCACCTGCAACAAAAGCCCTCCTCACGCCACGGGCACGGTGAAGAGGAAAGCCCAGGAGCAAACTCCAGTGTGTAGAACACAGAAAGCCAGCTCTGCTACCAGTTTTCAAGTCCCACCGGGACGACGCCCACGTATGGTCACCAGCAACCCCACTGAGGAGCTCCCTCCGAGGGGAAGTACCCGCGGAATGCCCGATCCGCCATCTGATACAATCTCTCGTCCCCCAGGACACGCGCAGCAGCGCACAAGACCAGCAACATAGACGCCCAGCGAACCATACCTCTCTCTCGATCGGAAGCGTGCACACGCACCATGTGTGCAACCTCGGGAGCAAGCACATTACGTGAACCTACCCGTCCCAGGGAAGCCCAACACGCCTCACACCTCTTCATCCGAAGGCAGCGCGACATCATCTCATCCATCCAGGAAGCCGTGTACCTCCAGCGCGTCGCCATTCCATGCAGTGTTATACCCAGTGCAAACACCTCCTGCCGCGAAAAGTGACCGTCGCACCGCTCCTCTTCCATGCACGCCGGATCCCCATCGTGTATCTCAACTCCGTACTTCTCACCCCACGAGAGCAAAGCTGCACCAAAGCCGCTACCCATAGCGCCTACCAGGTCCTCCGCCTGATCTTCCCCCTCCAACGGGGGAGGTGGGATAAACAAGCAATGACGAACAAGTTCATCCACTGCCTCTCTCCGAAGCACAGCATCCTCTGCCATCAGCGCAAGTCTCCCACGTGCGCCCTCCCCAAGGGCAAATAAGAGGCCAACCTTCCATGTCCTCTCCTCCTCCGGCATACTAGACTCCTCCGGCTCTGCACTGCACATCTTCGTAGTATCTCTCGTCCCTCCCCGGTCCGTGTAGCTGCACGCAGTGCATCAGTAGGCTTGGTTCTTGGCCACAAGAACATAAGAAGAAAATCTCCCAAGGACATCCAAGGTAAGACAGCCTCCGTGCTGTCGTCCGTCCCGTCTTGTCGCGCTGCTGCTCCTCTCCGAGGAAAAGGAGGAGAGAAGTGGAAATCCTTTGCCATTCTCCAGAGGGCACAGCCCTCCCTATGTATCTTCGAAAGTCGGGAGAAAGTGGCCCACTTTCATCCCAAAACAGTAGTCGAACTGGGCCACCAGGCCCCGTTCTCATAGGTCAAACTCTCGTGGAGCAGGCTCCACTCTCGTCAACGGTCAACGCCCATCTTACAAGTGAATCATACAGAGCTCGCACCAAATGCTCGCTAGATGGGCGTTCTGATTCGTCCAAAGGCCAATTATTCCCTGTCGTATCCACTTTGGTCAACGAACTTCGTTGACGACGACCCCTTGGCTCGCCGTCGCCTCGTCCGTCTGTTGGTCACGCGCCATGCCACCTTCGGCGTCAGCCACGCTCCCAGCTTCCAGCGTTGTTGTTGCATAGCCATTATGTCTCTCTAGTAGTAGACAATATGATTTCATCATTTCACTTCCGTGTATTAAGCAGCGTCGCTACGCTCGAGCTGCACAGGGCTGCCGCCCCGTACCCCGCGGTTCCGGAATCTTAGCTCTCTTTTCCGACAGCATGCGGATTAAGTAATGTCAGCAGTCTTTAGCGACATGCATCTTGGTGGTTTTTGAAGCTACTCCAAAGTAGTGTTTAGCACATCTCGTGATACTTTCTGGTGTTTTGTTCTACTCTAACACACGACTCTACATTTCATTTCATTGCATTCCATTGCTGGTTGTTCCACACTTCACTCTGTTCATCTAGTAATCACCCTGATCTTCTGCTGATAAGTCTAGCTATCATCACTGCATCAACTGCTCTATCGCCACATGGCTCCTACACGAGGACACCGGACTACAAGCCCTGTTGTCCAAACTCTGCTGCCACCTGCAACAAAAGCCCTCCTCACGCCACGGGCACGGTGAAGAGGAAAGCCCAGGAGCAAACTCCAGTGTGTAGAACACAGAAAGCCAGCTCTGCTACCAGTTTTCAAGTCCCACCGGGACGACGCCCACGTATGGTCACCAGCAACCCCACTGAGGAGCTCCCTCCGAGGGGAAGTACCCGCGGAATGCCCGATCCGCCATCTGATACAATCTCTCGTCCCCCAGGACACGCGCAGCAGCGCACAAGACCAGCAACATAGACGCCCAGCGAACCATACCTCTCTCTCGATCGGAAGCGTGCACACGCACCATGTGTGCAACCTCGGGAGCAAGCACATTACGTGAACCTACCCGTCCCAGGGAAGCCCAACACGCCTCACACCTCTTCATCCGAAGGCAGCGCGACATCATCTCATCCATCCAGGAAGCCGTGTACCTCCAGCGCGTCGCCATTCCATGCAGTGTTATACCCAGTGCAAACACCTCCTGCCGCGAAAAGTGACCGTCGCACCGCTCCTCTTCCATGCACGCCGGATCCCCATCGTGTATCTCAACTCCGTACTTCTCACCCCACGAGAGCAAAGCTGCACCAAAGCCGCTACCCATAGCGCCTACCAGGTCCTCCGCCTGATCTTCCCCCTCCAACGGGGGAGGTGGGATAAACAAGCAATGACGAACAAGTTCATCCACTGCCTCTCTCCGAAGCACAGCATCCTCTGCCATCAGCGCAAGTCTCCCACGTGCGCCCTCCCCAAGGGCAAATAAGAGGCCAACCTTCCATGTCCTCTCCTCCTCCGGCATACTAGACTCCTCCGGCTCTGCACTGCACATCTTCGTAGTATCTCTCGTCCCTCCCCGGTCCGTGTAGCTGCACGCAGTGCATCAGTAGGCTTGGTTCTTGGCCACAAGAACATAAGAAGAAAATCTCCCAAGGACATCCAAGGTAAGACAGCCTCCGTGCTGTCGTCCGTCCCGTCTTGTCGCGCTGCTGCTCCTCTCCGAGGAAAAGGAGGAGAGAAGTGGAAATCCTTTGCCATTCTCCAGGAGGGCACAGCCCTCCCTATGTATCTTCGAAAGTCGGGAGAAAGTGGCCCACTTTCATCCCAAAACAGTAGTCGAACTGGGCCACCAGGCCCCGTTCTCATAGGTCAAACTCTCGTGGAGCAGGCTCCACTCTCGTCAACGGTCAACGCCCATCTTACAAGTGAATCATACAGAGCTCGCACCAAATGCTCGCTAGATGGGCGTTCTGATTCGCTCAAATCGCGAAATATTCCCTGTCGTATCCACTTTGGTCAACGAACTTCGTTGACGACGACCCTTGGCTCGCCGTCGCCTCGTCCGTCTGTTGGTCACGCGCCATGCCACCTTCGGCGTCAGCCACGCTCCCAGCTTCCAGCGTTGTTGTTGTTATAGCCATATGTTCTACTAGTAGTAACAGCATTCATTCTTCATGTCTCTTCGAGTTATTCGCCACGGCTGCTGCGCAGCTAGTGGCACAGGGCTGCCGCCCCGTACCCCGCGGTTCCGGAAAGGAAGTACCTCTTTTTAACATTGTTTGCGGTACCAGACCGAAAGCATTCTTCAGCTGCACACATCTTCTAAGTTCATGTGGTACCAGACCACAAGACATCCTCATTTCATTGCCTTTTTAAATAAACTACACGTAACCTTTACTTGCACCACCGAATCCTCCGCATACTTACGCCAGACCTTCTTGCGCAAGGGATTGTTATCCTCATTGCAGGTCCAAATAACTGGCTTGCCCAATGCCAGACGAACAGTAGGTTTGAACTTATCCGTCCCGTTAAACCACCGCTGACAGCCAAGCATCTCGCGCGTGTACTTGAAATCCGCCAGGACTACGTCATTGAGCACAATGTGCGTGCAGTCTTCCCGCCAATCGTCTAGACGAAAGTTAGTGTTCACAATGAGGGGATTACCAAAGGACTCCGCCCATGCGGTCTTGCCAGTCCTAGTGGGCCCTGTCAGGACCAAGGCTTGGGGCCTCTCCGCCGCACCGTAAGGCTGGTCAATCCATTTCGCCTTCCACTCCAGCATGGCCTGCGGAATGTAGACGGGGTCAAAGTGAAAGACCGGTCCAACCGGGGGCAGAAATCGTCGCCTCTTCCTGTTGGCAAGCGCGCACGCCTGCGTGTGTCTCCAGACATAGTTCACCGGATCCCCCTCCGCCAGGATCTCGTGCACCTCCTCAGCCGTCTCGGCTTTGATGGCAGCTATGCACAGCTCTTCGCGCTTCCTCTTGGCTACCGCCCTGTCACCCACAGCCTCGATCTCCCGACCGAAAACGAAGTCCCACGACTCCTTCCTCACGTACGCCTGGGTCTTGTTCAGGAAGAACTCCAAGTTCTGCTCCTTGCGCATCACGCTAAGACGGACAGACCGAGTGTCTGGTCCAAGGCCATCCTCTGTCATGGCCAACAGCCGCAACTTCTCCCAAGGATCCCTCCAGTGAGGGGGCTTACCTAAAGCTACCACAACATGGTAATGGGGACGCCCGCTGGCGTGCAGCTCCCTAGAGCCGAAATACTGTACCCCAAAGTCTTCCAGCTGCGCATCAGGCTTGCTGGTGTAACACCTCCGGAGTGTTTCGCGAAAACGCTTCTCAAACTCAGACACATCCATGATCTGACTCTTGCTGTACGTCAGCATAAAATACTTCGTCCGAAGTATAAACACCTTCTCTCCATCCCGATCGTTCGGTCGAATGTCCGCCCACTCATCCTGAGCTGGATCAGGAACCTCGTCTTCCTCGTACGTCTGCACGACCACCTCGTGCCCCTCCGGCAAAACCACGGCGCACTCCTCCTGCACCTCCATCCTGCCTGCCGCTCCGCTTGCTGTTTTTCGTCCCGAGAAAAGAGAAAGACAAGAGAGAAATCCTTTGCCCTGCTTGTAGGGGGCTCGAGCCCCCCTTTGTAGTTCCACGTGGGAGCCAGTGTGCCCACTGGACTCCCGATTAGGTAACGAAACTGGGCCACCAGCCCCGTTTCTGATAGGTGGAGCGGTAGGGTCCAGGGACCCACCCGCGTCAACGGTCAACGCCCATCTTACAAGTGAATCATACAGAGCTCGCACCAAATGCTCGCTAGATGGGCGTTCTGATTCGTCCAAAGGCCAAATTATTCCCTGTCGTATCCACTTTGGTCAACGAACTTCGTTGACGACGACCCCTTGGCTCGCCGTCGCCTCGTCCGTCTGTTGGTCACGCGCCATGCCACCTTCGGCGTCAGCCACGCTCCCACACTCTGTGTTTGTTGTTGCATAGCCATGGTTTCTCTCTGTGAGTAGAAAATATGATTTCATCATTCACTCTCGTGTATTAAGCAGCGTCGCTACGCTCGAGCTGCACAGGGCTGCCGCCCCGTACCCCGCCGATCCGGAACTCTAGCCATCTTTTCTGACAGCATTCGGTACCAGACTAAAAGCATGCTTTAACGCACGCATCTTGTTGGGGCAAAGTGAAGCCCCCCACTCTTAGTGTTTATGTAATCTCACGATACTTTTTGGTGTTTTGTTCTACCCCAACACATTCATTTCATTGCATCACTTCGTTCACTTACTTGTTCCACAATGCACTTCGTCTACTGTTCATCACTCATCTCATCACTCATTCCATCTGGTTTCATGTAGCTCTAGTTACTTGTTCATTTCATTCACCACAGTTCTACCTCCTGATTATCGCCACCGGCGCACAGAAAACGTCACACTGCCGACAATGCTGCACACGCAAGACGGACCAGACAACCACTCCACCATGTTGTCATCCGCAATGGCAAACCCTACCCAAGGGTTAGTGAGCCTTGGCCCAAGACAGCCCAAGCTTCTGCGACCGGGAAGCACCATGACCGCGCTTCCCATCCTCCTTTCCGCCCCGCTGCTCGTCACGCCTGCGACGATGTCTCTCCTCACGCTGTCGCTGCCGGTCTTCCTCCTTCTGCACGAAGGACGCTAACTCCGCTTGCACCCCCGCAAGCTTCTCCTCGAGGCAAACGACCTGCTGTTCATGTCGAGTCTCCATGTCCTCCCGGACCTGCACCATCTGCTCTATCCGAGCCCCGCAAGACGCTCCCTTCTTCTGCTCCTCCGTCAACTCTCGCACCGCCTCCAGCACACCATGCAATGCACTCATGACGCCGTCGACCCACGCCGGCTCACCACCCAGCTGGCTCTGCGCAGCCTGGACCTTCCCGAGCAACATCCCCTGGCTCTTCTGCTCCTGGTCAAGGGCACCCACTGCCTCCTGCAGCGTCCCTACTCTCTCTCCAATACTCATCACTCCACGCCCCACGTCCCGCAGGGAAGTCGACATCTCCTGACAGGCCGAACACCTGCCTTCCTCGGGTCTTCCAGCCCCCAAATCTTTCCTCTCGTCCGTCCCCTCGACTGCCTTGCTTGCCTCCTCCGGAACAGAACAAGAAACTCCGCCCGCAGGCGGAACAGGCCCTCCCGGGCCAGACGTGTCTACAGCCTCCGCCACTGTCTCTGCTTGCCCCGTAGGGGTCAAGGCTCCCACCTCCGGTTTCTGCACCACACCAGCGCCCACAGGCGCCGACAGTAAGCCATCCTGCTTCATCACCTGGCTCTTACCAAAGCCAGGACCGACAGGCTTCGAGGACATCATCCCTCGCGGGAGAGGACCTTTCACTGGTCCTCCAAATCCTCCGGACCGCACCGACGCCCCCGTCTTGTTCATCCTGTCTGCCGCCCTGCTGTTGTTTCTCTCCGAGGAAAAAGAGGAAGAGAAATGAAATCCTTTGCCTTCTCTTGGGAAGGGTGCACACCCTTCCTTTGTACTTTCCATGTGGGAGAAAGTGTGCCCACTTTCATCCCTTTTCGGTAACGGAACTGGGCCACCAGGCCCCGTTCCTATAGGTCAGCCAGTCGGGGTCCAAGGACCCACTCTGTCAACGGTCAACGCCCATCTTACAAGTGAATCATACAGAGCTCGCACCAAATGCTCGCTAGATGGGCGTTCTGATTCGCTCAAATCGCGAAATATTCCCTGTCGTATCCACTTTGGTCAACGAACTTCGTTGACGACGACCCCTTGGCTCGCCGTCGCCTCGTCCGTCTGTTGGTCACGCGCCATGCCACCTTCGGCGTCAGCCACGCTCCCACACTCTGTGTTTGTTGTTGCATAGCCATGGTGTTTCTACTAGTAGTAACAATATGATTTCATCATTGCTCTTCGAGGTGAGCGCCAGGGTCCTGCGGACCACGGCACAGGGGGCTTCCCCCTGTAACCCCCTTCTTTCCGGAATAGAAGTACCTCTTTTTGACAGCATGCAGTCAAAGTAATAAAGGCATGCTCTAGGGCACGCATCTTTGCACAAGTGAGGCTGTACCCTAGTACTGTTTTACAGATCTCACGATACTCTTTGGAGGTTGGCTCCGCTGCACATTGTTCCACACCACATCACTCCATCAATCACTCCATTCTTCTGATTGTTGCACATGCTCATTTCATGTCTCGTCATCCTAGTTCGAGAAGTTATTATGAATCACCAGAGAGCCCCGAAGGGCATCGGACAGTTCCACAGATTGCTCCGTACATGCTCACGATCCTCCGACCAAGTGTACAATCACTGACAGCATACTACAAAGGGCTGTTCCAACTACGCCCATCTAACCTCTGCACCTGCCACACCGTGTCAGCACCGCCCTCCATCCTGGCCAGGCCATGGTCCAGACAATACGCAACGCGGTCCAACAGCGTCAACAGCCAGACGGCCCACCACTCCAGAGTGGAAGACCCAAGCGCCACCGCAACCCTTCTGGTGGCCTCCGCACAGAACACCAAGTTCACCAAGTGCCAGTGACCCGGCATCAGATGCACCTCCAGTAGGTGGAAGAGAAAGAACAGGTCCGCATGGTACCATGCACACCGCATACAAACCGCGCAACTCCCCCCGCGCTCATCATCCTCCTAACGACTCCCCTCTCCAAGGAACTCATCTCGTGTCTCCGCGGGCTCTCCACGAGCCCGTACATCAGCCTCGCCAGAGGCACCAAGCCCTCATACGGGACAGGCACAGCCAGCACACCCTGGCTAGTCGCGATCTCATACCTCTTCACCCCCAGGGGCAACTGGGCGGCACGCGCCCACACACACAGCTCCCGCACCAAGTCCGCCCCGGACAAGCAGAAGACCTGCGTCACTCCATCATGACCCACCTGACGTATCCTCTGGATCATCTCCTCCAGGATATCACGCCCCGGCGACAACTCCTGCCGTCGCGTAGCAAACGACAAGACAACTGTCCTGTCGAACACGGGGAAATACACATCCCCACTCCGTAACAGACTGGGCACCAAGTGCCCGTTGCACCACTCCCCCTCTCGTAGTACCAAGGATCGTCCCGGCCTCACCACACCCTCTGCGCAGCATAGGTCCAGTCCAACGGCTCGACCCCCCTCGCCTATCTCTACCCCGTGCACGGGGTGCTCCATACCCATTGCGCTTCCTGTTGATGCACGCCAGTGCATCCCAAGGCTTGGTTCTTGGCCACAAGAACAAAGGAAAAAGAAATACGAAATTTCGAAACAACCGATCCTCTCCTGTTGTCGCTCCGCCGTGATCGTCCCTCGCCTTTCTCCGAAAATGAAATGAAGGAGGGAAGAATGTCCTGCCAGTTCATCTCCCCGAGATGGGCCCAAGCCCATCTTTGTATCTTCGAATGTGGGGCCAGCGCCACAGCGCTAGGCCCTAAAGGGTAGTCGAACTGGGCCACCAGGCCCCGTTCTCATAGGTCAAACTCTCGTGGAGCAGGCTCCACTCTCGTCAACGGTCAACGCCCATCTTACAAGTGAATCATACAGAGCGCCCATACAAATGGTCGCGAAGATGGGCTGTGATTCGTCCAATCGACGAAATATTCCCTGTCGTATCCACTTTGGTCAACGAACTTCGTTGACGACGACCCCTTGGCTCGCCGTCGCCTCGTCCGTCTGTTGGTCACGCGCCATGCCACCTTCGGCGTCAGCCACGCTCCCACACTCTGTGTTTGTTGTTGCATATCCATTATGTCTCTCTAGTAGTAGACAATATGATTTCATCATTCACTCTCGTGTATTAAGCAGCGTCGCTACGCTCGAGCTGCACAGGGCTGCCGCCCCGTACCCCGCCGATCCGGAACTCTAGCTCTCTTTTTAAGGAATTTATCGGTACCAGACCGAAAGCATGCTTGAAGGCACGCATCTTGGATTGAATGAAGCTCCACTTTGTTAGGGTTTAGCAGATCTCACGATCCTTTTGGTGTTGTGCTCCACACAAGACACAGCTCCACTCTGATTGAATTGAACTGCACCACAGTGACTACTCCTTCGGACTCTCCACCACCTGGACCGCCCGGTCTAGTTGCGCACCACCCAATCGAATTGTGTTCCAGAACCTGGCAGCCTCTGCCTCAGCCGTCCCACCAGTCCACAAGTAACCATCCGGACTCCACGTAGCAAAAAGGCTGAAGCCATCCATAGGCGCTCTCCGATCCCCCAACTCTGACAAGTGATCCAAGTCCAGCTCCCACGCATCATTGCCAATGACATATCCACGCCTCTCAAAGAAGAGCCGGCTCACGTTCGCGCGCTCCTGCCTAAGACTCAACGAGAACATGTTCACCCCCGGTGGTGATACAGCGCCGAGTAGGGAAAAGGACAGAACAATCCCGTCCCTGACAGAAAAACGGCCTCGGCCGTGTGCGCACACAGCTGCATCGCCAGATCCTGCAAGCTCCGACACCGAGACTCCCTGACCTCCTCGTCCGACACCGGAACGATCACACTCATGAGGGGCCCAGGCCCCGATCCAGCCGACCCAGTCGTACAACAAAGGTCCTCCACCCGCGGACCGCAATATCGCGAAGCGT